AACTGGAAATTAAACTCGGGACCTTGGGCTTGGGCTTGCCAGGCAGGCACCTGTGCCACTGAGCTATATCCCTGGCCCTCCACTATAATTCTTCAGTGAATCTTGAATGAGGTCTATATCTAGATCTCAGCTCCACTAATTATTAGTTGGTGTGTGACTTTAGGCAAGTTCTTTGTTAACTTTCTTTTCTTCATTTTATTTATTTTATTTTATTTATTTATTTTTGGTGGAACTGGGGATTGAACTCAAGCCCTTGTGCTTGCCAGGCAAGTACTCATTCTACTGAGCTACCTCCCCAGCCCCTAATTTTTTTTTTTAATTTTTATTTTTTTCTGTTTTTAGGGAAGAGTCTATAAGGTGTTCAGGATCTCATTACTAGATTGAATTTATAGCAATTCTCCTATTTACAGCCTTCCAAGTGCTTGGATTACAGGCCCAATCTCAATTGCCGTCTCAGCATGCCCCCAGGGGCAGGGACCCACATGTCAGGGGTGGGGATGAAGCCCCAGCCCCTGTGCCTGCTTGGAGGCACTTTAATCTGTGAGCTATTTGGCCGGCTCCTTTTCTTCAGTTTAAAGATAAAGATGTAGTAGTGTACTACGCATCTCTAAGAGTCAGTGTAGGGCAACCAATTCGGGACCCCTCCTGTCTCTCAAGGGCTATTCCTATTCCCCATTCCTTTTCTCCAGAAAAATTTCCTACTCTTACAAAAAAAGAAAAGAAAGAAGAGTCAGTGTAAGAGTTATCTGGAATAACAAAGCATGAAGTAAATATAAGCTATTATTAATAAAAGGCACTTTATTTTTAATGATTGTGTTTAGATTTTTTTTCAAATATTAGATTTTACTGCTTTTTTCTTACAGGTTTTTAGAGATAATTTTTACTTTTTTTCTGTGCAAACTTACTATACATTGTAAGAAATTATTCTAGACTGAGACATTCTTATCTTTCCTGGTTTCATTAATAAAATGCTTTTCTTAAAAAGTAAATTGGGGGGCTGGTGAGATGGCTCAGTGGTCTAAAGCACCTACTTGGAGCGGGCTTAGCAAAGCACAGGGACCGCGGTTCAATCCCCCAGCACCACATGCCAGCCAGCCCCG